TTTTTTTTTTTTTTTCTATAACGAGTGTAAGGTCAGATATTAATCTCTAAATTTGGGTAGTTGACTATATATATAAAAGGAGTGTGTAGTTTGTTTATTTTAATGCAAATTGTATTGGTCCAAGAGTTACTTGTTAACTCAAAACATTCTTAAAGGAGAAATTGCATTTATATTTTATACGCTTACACTTCCTCACCAACCTTAATTAACAATTATTAATTCCCACGACACTGCTTAATTAATGTCCATTAATTAATAAAAATCGTGCCGCAAATAATTTTTTTTTATATAGTATAAGCTGCAAAAAATAGTTTTTTATACCTAATAAAATTATCATTTTTATATAGTTATATTAACATCATCAAATTAGTTATTTTATAATGCAAGCATTATAAATTTATAATACTAAAAAATGATTAAGAAACAATGCATGCAAGTACATTTTTCTATATATGGGTCTAAAATTAGGTAATAAATTGACCAAATAAATAAATAAATGTAAATATACTTACCCAGGATAATAAGGTGAAGGGACCAAAAATCCATCTCCAGAGTCGGCCAAACAGAACATAAGCAGCTCACTAGCTCCGGTCGCCCCACCGCCCATTACTATCCGGTCCGGGTCGAAACTGACCCGCCCGCCCCTTGCCTTCGACATGAACTTGGCCACACCCTGAAAAAATAATCGAAAAAACTCATTTCCCAAAAACAAAGAAAAATAAATAAAAAAAATTGTAACACAAATTCTTGTGTGAGGTTAGTCGAGTTGACTCGTCATACCGTTTTTTCATAAAAATGCATGTTTTATAAATAGTGCAGATTTTTCATATTTTTATTTATGTCATTTTAAAGTTATTATTCCGAATGATAAGGCTATACGTTTCGAAATTCGGGTAGGCCGTGATAATCTTGGTATAGTGCAATGTTTCGGAATGCATGAACTCCTTCGCGCGTCGTGATTGAAGCTTTCGGGTTTTTGTCGATCCATTCCTCGATCATGTCCGTCGAAAGCTGCAAAAATGTATGATAAATAATAATAATAAATTAAAATATTATATTTTCAATATTAAGTCTCACATAAATTAATTAAAAAAAAAAATCACACATTAACATTTCATCAAAAAATTATTTAATTTTTCAAAAATTAGTTATTTTTTGCACTTTTGAAAGATAGTCTTGTTGTGTAGTAGTGGTTGTTAACAAACTGAGCTCGAGCTCTCTGATACTTTAACTCAGGCTCGTATCCTCGTTGATGAGCTTGATTATGCTAGATTACATAAAAACCCCTATTTTTATTTTCTGCGAGACTTCAACAAGTTCAAACTCGGCTCGTTTATATCTAAAAATTAAATAAAAAGGGTGAATAAAAAAATTAAAAAAACCTGATTTTCAGCAAGCCCCATTTGTATAACTCCATGAGGATTGTCTTTAGGGTGGAAAGGATTATTGTCATATGCTTTCCACCCATCAAAGTAGGGTGAGTTTTCGCCATGTTGATCGCTCGTCGCCATTTTCGACAAAAGTCGGCTATTTCCACTCTCGATTTCCATCTTCCACACTTGAGATGATATTATCAGCTAATGATACTATATATGACTGTGTGTGTGAATAATTACACAAAAACTGAGCTTGGAGTGAGAGAATGAAGTGGCTTGGGTGAGGTATATATAAGGAGTGATAAAAGGGACCAAAAAATAATTTTTTAAAAAATATTATTTTTTTGGGGTGGAAAAAAAATAATTAGGGAATAGTCGGTTTCAACGTTCAAAACCATGGAAAATAATAACAGCTAATTTTGGGGGGCAAAAAGAAATTAATAGAATTATTTTTAAGGTGTGTTGGGTTTTTTTTTGGTCAAAATTTGTGAATTGGACGGACAGGTTGACTCAAGTGGTAAGCAATTTGATGTCGCTTAACCAAGATCTCGGGTTCGAGTCCTTGTGAATGCAGAAAACTTTTGTTGGGAGACTCACCCATTATTGTCAGGTGTGTGCCCCGGGTCGACCAACGGATTAGTCGGGGCAACGCTGTAAATACCGTAACTCGCTGAAAAAAAATTGTGAATTGGTAATTGCTTGCACTTTGTGGAATCCTAATTCTTGATGATTTGTTTTAAAAAGCTGGACTCTGTGCATCGATCTACCAGCTGTACACACGTGGGAGGAGGCCGTACGTGCGAGTATATATATTATTAATACGATTATTATTTTTATTTTCATTATTAGTTTATCACCACGTGTGAATGGTGAGATTATATTATTCTTATTAAAATTTTAAAATAATTTAATGAAAAAAATATAACTAACTATATTCACGAAGTCTCCAACTGTTAATTAACAAGATAATAGCAAGACTACGTTTATATTAATTATGTTTTTTTATTAAGTTTATATCTATTTTTTTAATAGTTATTGACTGGTATTTTTCGGTATTTTGACTTGTATTTTTCGGTACAAATCAATATTCGTAAAGCCTATAGTTGTATGTATTTATAAATTAAATTAATGATCGGGGTCATGAACAAAAATGTGATGTTTTTATTTTATATTATTTTTTAAATTACAATATTTGAATATAAAAATATGCATATGTGATAATATATATATATTTATTTATATATCAAATGATAAGCCTTCTAAAAAATGCAGTTGTTGTTGCTATGTTGTTATAATTATTTGAGAAAATATGAGTACTATTATTAATTATATATTAATTGGAAATTAATTTTGACAGACGGTATTTTTTGAGTGAATATAGACAGTATTGTACGCCGTTGGATTAATATACATAGACATATGAGTATATATGTGACTGCGTAAAATCTAACGGATTAGAACCATTGCACCCATTTATATTCTTTTGAAGTTTAATCACTTGTGAATTAATTATGCTCAAATACTTATGTAACCATTGGGCTATCATTTTGGTAGACAAATAAGCTAGCTTATACCTTATTTGATTAGCTTATAAGCTATATGTATTCAAATAAGTCTCATTTGATAGGACGAACTTTTTTAAAAAGCTCGAGCTTATTTGATAAGCTTCTTTTGGTAGCTTTTCAAATAAGCTCGTTGAATTTTTTATTTCAGCTAGCTTATCAACTACTTTTTACTTAACACTTTTATCATATAAGCTAGCTTTTCAGCTATAAGTCATAAGCTATAAACTATAAACTCGAAAATTACTAATAAGCTATAAACTAGCTTATCAGTTATGAGCTAGTTTTACCAAACATAGCCTATATTTGGTAGACAAATAAGCTAGCTTATAGCTTATTTGGTTAGCTTATAAGCTATCTGTATTCAAATAAGTCTCGTTTGGTAAGACGATCTTTTTTAAAAAGCTCGAGCTTATTTGATAACCTTCTTTAAGTAGTTTTTTAAATGAGCTAATTGAATTAATCCAGCTAGCTTATCAGCTAATTTTACCAACCACTTTTTATTAAATAAGCTAGTTTTTCAGTTATAAGTCATTATAATCCATAAGCTCAAAAAATACTGATAAGCTATAAACTATCTTATCAACTATCAACTAGTTTTACCAAACATAGTCTAACTATGTTCTCTACGGCGAATGTGGATGATTATGCCCACTAACCACCTTTATTGCCTAATCAAAAACGTTAGTTTTAATTTTTGTTTTTTTTTTTTAAAAAAGGATGTTTATAGTCCAATTTGTGGATGAAAATAATTAAAACAAGTCCTATGATATTAAATGTTTATCACAATTAGTTTTATTTAAACCCAATTAATTAATATGTAATTTCACAATTCTCAAAATTGACCAATTCAATGACAATATTTTAGCCACAAATTTAAAATTTGGCCCAAATTTAGGAGGGAAAGAATGTTTCCATTTGTAGCAACATTATCTTTATTAGTCACAAATTAAATGACCCTTGGAATGTTGGATGAGTCAATATTAGTCAAAATTAATAATTGTTATATTTATAGTATAAGCCTCCTGTCCATAATTGGGCAGATATGTTTGAGGAATAAAATTTTGCATATTCAAACAATTTCCTTAAATGTTTTATATTGATAAGTGATTATATTGCCACGCGGTTATGAATTTTTAGGTATGTATTTTATTTTATTTTTTATTTTTTTTAGTAATATTATATGCATGCATTTTTAGGTAGTAATTTATTTATTTATTTTTTTTATTTTTTTTTTTAGAATTAGGTATGTAATTAATAATGATGAAAATTGAGAATCATATGGGACGGAGTTCTAATATCCAAGTATGATGGGATGAAACTAGACATTCTAATATTATTGTACCTTCTCTCATGCACCGGCCTGATTTTCGTAATTTTATTTTTCTTTTTTTATCCTGTTGAGATCGCACGCTCGGACATTACCCTGGTGAGGTCGTCTTTGTGTTTGTATTTGTCCTAGTATTTTAGTGTTAGTGTTTGTTGTGTTCCCAAGGTTTACCCTGGTAGGGTCGTCGACTCTAGGCGGTCTGTTGACTGTCTCTCATTTTTATTCAACTATTGGCTGCTTGTATTTAGCTGTTGGCTGTTTGTATTCAGCTAGTGGTTGCTCTTTAATTTGTACATTTGTGCGCATTTATATAATACTTATGTGGTTTCAAAAAAAAAAAAAAAGCTGAAAATTGTATTAATTAGTCTTTATTGAGATATTTATGATTAATTGGGATTTCTGTCTCCGTTTATTGACTAAATACCACACGCATTCATTTGTTAGACATCTATGTGTTGATACTTCATTATTAATGTCATGCTCTTCGTTTTAATTAACATTAATAAAAGGCTAAAATGTCCCCATACATTCAATTTAAAATACATTCTTTTTTGTTTATTATTTCTTTAAACGACTTATAATGTTTGTGATTAAAATATCTTGATTACTTATTATTTTCATGTATATCTATATAAATGAAAATTTTCCCTAATTACAATTTTAATTAATGATTAAAATATCATGATAATACTTATTCTTTTCATGTTGCACAATACAATCAAGTGGCTGGAGCTTGTTTTATGAAAAATACTAGTTTAATATTATTTTATAAATTTATAGATTAATCTACATCTTAAGATAATGTGATATATAATTAAGCAACACAATCTAATTATGATCATATCAAAATATGTTATGTTTAAACTGAATGAATAAACATAATCAGTTAATCTTATATTCATTATCACATATTTCTCGTTAATTATTATTCACTACACAAATTATTGTGTGAGGCAGCCGATTTGTCATACTGTATTTGTCAAAAACCTATAGTTTTGCTCTAAAATGAATTGTTTCAATTCGTAGAATTTCACAAAGTATGACATTTCAATTTGAAAACAAATATACCATTGCGATTACACAAAAATTCTATGGAGCCATCGGATGGTTTTCTTATGGAGCCAACCACCACTTAATGTATTGACACTTGTCCAAATTTTATTTATTGCATGATTACACAATTGGTGAATAAATGTGGATGACTCCATAAGTCGAGCCATCCAATGACTCCATAGCAGAACTCTGTGATTACATTATCCTTAAGTATGTCTAGCAATAAGTTTACTGATATTACTATTATTAAAACATCAAATAGTAATAATGATTAATAATGAGTTGAATATAATTAACTAAACAAATTCAAGTCATAATGATATAGCCTCACTAAATAGAGGTATACATTGACCTGTAGAAAGTCAACTCATGGGATCAACTTGGACCTGCCTGTCTGGTTGTTCTCCAATATTGATGGGAAAATTTCAGAGGTTTTTTTTGTTTACACTGTAAAACTATTGAAAATTTGAAACAATTAGCCAAAAAAAGAAAAACATGATAATCACCACAAAATTGAATTTTTCAATACTCTTTTTGTGTAGTAATAATTCCTACTTCATGTGAGATGGTCTCATGCCATTAATAAAATTTGACCCTTTAACCTATGATGACTTGGTCATGGTTGCCACAAATTAATTGATAGAATTTAAAGTTACAAATTTGCACAAATTCGTATAAGAGACGGTTTAATCGATAAACGAGTTGACTTTTAATATCGAAAATGCTAAGGTCTCGTTACGGGACGATACTGTAAGCGTTTTCTATCATTGGATAAGAAAAATAAGTTATGTTGTGTGGATAATCTACGATAATAAACCGTGACGGAACTATTCCGTCAACGGGACTTTAGTCATTCCCCTTAATATCCTCCCTATATATAATTACAGAATGCGTTGAGCCTACGTGGCTGCTTCTGGTGCTTCGGAATCCTATTTGGCGAAGAATCATGCTTCGTAATTATGTTTGGACAAGTAATATTAATATATTAATAATTAATAATCTAGGTTCGGGTATTCCATAAATATTATTTAGCTAACTTAGGTATTTTAATATCACTTTTACTAATATAACCCTTTAATTATTTGTAATTTTACATAGTGAGACACTAAGTGACTAATATATCCCTAAATTTTGATTTCCTTCTTTCAATAAGCTATTGAATTATAAATGTATTTTAAAAGTAGATGACTTTTGTATTTCTTATCGGTTTTACATATATAATATATCAAATTAATCATCTTTTGATGATCTTCGATTTGACATCCATATTGTATATATCAAAATAAATAAATTATATTTATATTTATAATAATAAAAAATAATAATATTTATTAAAATTCATTAGAAAAATAAAATTATTTCTCAATTGATATATTTATATTTAGTGTAGTTATATAGTGTAAGTTAAAAAATTAGTATAATATAACACAAGTAAGTCGCACAAATAAAAAATATCATAATAAATATATAATATATATATATATATATATATTCTTATAAAAGGTATTTAAATTTTCAAACTACTTTTTCTCATTAATTTTAAATTTAAAAAAAAAATTAGCAAACACCCGTGTAATACACGGGTGTTGTAGCAAATAAAAATGCATATTTATAATGGCTATGTCATCATACTTATATTTTATATATGTTGTTTTAGAAAGCGTAATATTGTCTAATAAAAGTATAAATATTCTAATAATAAATTAAAGTATGTCAGTCGAATAGAAGAACGACTTAGTACTGACAAATTTGGTAAGCATGACAAATTTTATGTTTTCATTTTTC